CTTTGTCATCTTTGCCTCCAGGGAACACTCTGGCTGCATCTTCTCCAAGACATATCTGTTTGTTCTTCTGGCTGTCCTCGAGATAGTTAGTGCTCTTCTTCAACACCAAACCTCAAAGACATTGATTCTGTTTCTGTCATCCTTAGTCACTGTCCAACTCTCAGATGCATAGCATGTAATTGAGGACCATGGAATGGATCAGGCACACCTAAGTCTTTAAACCACCATTGTTGCTCCTTAAAACTTTGGCAGATTTTCCCAATGTGATATGTCGTGGGCTTTTATTTTATTTTTTAATTGATATTTTAATAAAAGCTTACAGAAAACTTGAATTTCCATTCATTCATTGTTGCACATTTTCCACCTTACACCCCTCTCAGATTCTTTCTTTGTTTCACAATTTCCTTCCTCCTCCTGCCCCCAAGTCCACTTTGCTATGCAGCTCTTATTCTGGACTGTTGTCATACAGATAACACCAAATCACATATTTCTGTTAGATAGTTCTTTCCATCATCTATTTCAAAGCAGGTATGTCTTCTGATTTCTTAACTGCTGGTACCAAGGGTGTTGAGTGTGGATCCAGGCAAGTTGAAATCGTTGACCATTTCAATTTTTTCCCCATCCTGATGTTGCTTATTGGTCCAGTGGTGTGAACTTTTGTTTTCTTGATGTTGAGATGTAATCCATATGGAAGGCTCTTTAACAGCCATGTCTCTAATGGGCCAGAGAGGAATGGGCACTTGTCCAAGGACACCCGGCACACGCGAGGCAGAGATGGGCCAGTATGGAGTCAGTGTCTTCTCTGTCCATGTGTGGTGGGAAATCCTTGTAGAATTCAGGGACCACAGGCCCCACATACGTGCCACTCCTTGTTTCTTACCACACGCCTCATGCCCCCAGCATCCAGCTGTCAGTTGCCTGGGCTCAGAAAGACGTATGCTCTGGTGGCTGGCACTATCTGGTCCACTGGGCTGGGGCGGGAGGCTGCCTGAGAAAGGAATCCCATGTATCTGAGGAGGACCACTCCAGGCTGGCCTCTGAGGCGAGGCTCAGTGGATGGCTTCTTAGAGGTTGTTAGGAGGCAAGTAGTCAAAGAGGAGAAAATAAAACTCCTCCTTAACCCGGAAGAACAGCAACTCAGCCCACTGTGGCTTTAATAGTGCACACACACATTCACACACATCTGCGTGTAAATGTGTACTCATAAAAATGCAACACACACATGTGCACACCCCTTATATACATGCTTTCTGCCTGATGCTGTTCTAGGGGCTCCACAAATGCTGCCTTGTTTAATCTTCTCATAATAATCATATGAGCTATGTTGTTGTTAGGTGCCATCGAGTCAAGTATGCCTCCTAGCGACTCTATGAACAACAGACTGAGTCCTGTCCCATGCTGCACCGTCCTCACCATCTCGGACATATTTGAGCCCATTGCTGCTGTCACTGTGTCAATCCACCTCAATGGGGTCTTTCTCTTTCGCTGACCCTCCGCCTTTCTTACCAGAATGGCCTTTTCAAAGGAATAGCCACTCCTAGCAACATGTCCAAAGTATGAGCGATGAAGCTTTGTCATCCTTATTTCTTTTTAAATTTTTTTCTTTATTATTAATTTTAATGAAAATTTCCAGAGACTTTGGATTTCCATGCATTCATTGTTGCACTTTTCTCCCTGCCCACCCCTTCCTCCCGCCCAATTCACTCTCCTCTTTGAAAAGCGAAAGAAAAATTCTTTCATTGTTATACAACCCCTCCCCCCAGGTCTACTTCACTACACAGCCTTCGTTCTGGACTCCTGTCATGACATTAATACCCAATCACATATCCCTTTTAAACAGTTTCCTCCCTCATCTGTTTCAATGCAGTATACATTATTTATCCCATCTTTCTCAGTCTCTCTCCAACCCTGATGTCAGTCCCTATGCAATATTTGCCCTTTTGTGACTGAGATATTTCACTCAGCATAATGTCCTCCAGGGTCACCCATTTTGAATGATATTTCATGAGTTCCTTGTTTTCCAATGATGCGTGGTATTCCATTGTGTGAACATACCACAGCTTCTCTATCCATTCCTTTGTTGATGGGCACTTAGGTTGTTTCCAATTCTTTGCTATTGTGAACAAAGCCGCGATAAACATGGGTGTGCATTTATCTGCTTGGGTGGTGGTTATGGTTTCTTTGGGGTATATTGCTGGGTCAACTGGTATTTCTATTTGTAACTTTTTGAGAAAGCACCATACTGCCTTTCATAGTGGCTGCACCATTTTACACTACCACCAACAGTGAATAAGGGTTCCTGTTTTTCCACAACCTCTCCAGCATTTGATGTTTGCCGTTCTGTTAAATTTTGCTATTCTTACTGGGGTGAGATGATTTCTTTCTTTTTTAAAAAATATTTTTATTTTATTTTATTTTTTGTGTGTGTGCGTGTACCGTCAAATCAGATCTGACTGGTACAGGAGGAGATTACCCCTCCTTCCCCTGCAGAGCATCTGGTGGATTCGAACCGTGCACCTCTGGGATTGTAGTTGCAGCTTCTTGCCACTAGGCCACCAGAGCTCCCCGAGATGATTTCTCAGAGCTGTTTTGATATCATCCTTCTTTCTTTCTTTCTTTTTTTGTCATCCTTATTTCTAAGGAACACCTGGCTGCACTCTTACCAAGACATCGCTATTTGATTTTTGAGGAGTCCATGGGATATTCAGGTCTCTTCTCCAACATCACAACTCAAAGATATCAATCCTTCTTCCATTTTTATTCATTGTCCAGCTCTCAGATGCATAGCAGGTGTATACTGTTAATATACCTGTGTAGCTGACCAAGCAAAAAGAGTTGGGCCTATTTTTGTGTAAGGACCCAAGTTAGGAAGAGGAATTATGGGGATTTGAAAACCAAGATGCCTGGAATTCATTAAGCTACTCAATGCTATATCTAAGTGGCAGCTGAGTGAATATCCTTCTAGGATTTCTCTACCCTCTTTATCTATATTGAGTTTGGTTTTAAAAAATGGGATTCTTCATTAAAATTAATAATAATAAAAAATTGAATACATAAATGCAAGTATAGCTGAGGGAATTTCTCTAAATCAAAGTCAAAACCACCAGGTTAAGCTGACCTTAAAGTTCATCCTACCTCTGCTTACATGAGTCAACAAATGTCTTTAGTGCTCCAGAGAATTTGCGTTGGACTTTCTGTTCCGTGTAGGAAAAACATCCTAATAACTAAAACCAGAACCTTCAACACAATACATATTCTGCTAACGGATCTGACAACAATTTCCCTCATTACAACAGGACATTGGGAATAAAATTAGCATTAGACATTGTAAAATGGCAGGCATTTTTAAGGGGGAAACATGTACAATTTTTAAAGTGAAAACAGTAAAAATTAAACACCATTGTAAAAAAAATAGGATCCTTCTCACAAGCCCACAGGACTCAGTTCACACAGACTTAGATTTGAATCTTAGCTCTATCACAGATTGGCTGGCTTGACGTTGGGCTTCTTTACTTCTCTGGGGCTCAGTTTCCATATCTGTAAAATGGGGAGTGATAGTATCTGCTTCCCAGAGTTACCTAAGCTCATGCGTGTAAAGTACTCACTCACTCATTGCTGTTGAGTCCAAATCACCTCATAGCTGCCCCTCCAGCGGATTCCTGGAGGCTGTAAATCACGTGGGAGGAGATTGCCCATCTTTCTCTTGCAGAGCAGATGGGGGATTCGAACTGCAAGGGAGGAATTGCCTTTGGGTTAGGAATACAACTCCCTGTGGACTAGGCCACCAGAGCTCCCTGAAAAACCCTTAGGATCTGTGGCTAGATGGGATCACTCAGTCCCAAGATCTCAGGGGTTTGTAGGGAGAACAGGAAGATGAGACTCTCTGGACGTAAAGTCGTCTTAAGATGCTGGGAGACAGGGTGAATGAAGCCCCTGAATCCTAAGTCTGCTTGGAGCTCCTGCCCCGTTACCTGATCCCAGCCCTGCACACTCCAGGTGGACTCCGAGTTGAGCCGAGCCGCAGAAAGGGAGAGGGAGGGAGAAGCCCTGGGCTGTGAGGGCGGAGCTTCCCGGTCCATGTCTGGCCTGGCTGGAAGGGGAGGGGGCTGAGGGGACGTCAGATGCCATCAGCTCCCAGGGGACTGTTAAAGTCGCTGCTCTACAAGGTGGGTCCGGGTGTCTGCAGCAGTCCCCTGCTTGGTCCGCCACCTCTAGCCTCCCTCCTGGGCTGCCTGTCCTGGTAGGCGCCCCCCTGGAATCTGCTGCCTGGTCTCTCTCTCTGTCCCCCTCTCTGTCTGTCCCTCTTTTGTTTCTCCTTCCTCTGTTCTGGGGCCCTTTCCTCCCTTTATCTTTGCCTCTCTTCCTCTACTTCTCTCTCTCATTTTCTCCATCTTTCTTTCTCCTATCACGTTCACTCTCATTTTTTCGTTCTCTCTTAGGTCTATTTCTCTTGTTCCTTTTTTCTCAGCATCTCTTTTTCCAGTTGCCTTTTTGTGTAGTTTTCTTTTCCCTCTGCTTTTTGTTTTTCCTTCTCTCTGTTCTTCCATTCTCTTCCACCTATCTTGTTTTTTCTTCCTCATTCTGATTCTCTGTCTCAGTTCTCTAGTAACTAGCATAAGGAGGCCTTGCAACCTGCCTTGGGCACTGTTGGGTCCCTGACCCTCTGAGGACACTGTCTGAGTCCACTTGAAGGGTGTCCTGGCCAGGAATGACCTGTGTCTGCCTCCTTGGCTGGTGGGCTGAACCCTGGCTTTGAAGTGGTAGCACTGTCTCACCAGGGTCAGTGTGGACCAGCCACTGTCTGGACATTTCTTTCCATCGTCAGATCCCCTCCGTCTGCTGGGGTGGGGAGGAGGGGTAATGGGCACCTGGACCACAGCTGGGGTCAGGAGGTGGCATCCTCTGGGTTGGCAAAGTTGAAGGAGGACACTCAGAGTTTTGTGTCTTCATGCCCTCCCCTTCCCGGCAGCTGACCCCGCCTGCACCAACTCTGGCTAGCGATGCCACTGCCGTCCAGCGCTGTATGCCTGCTAGGCCTTCTCTTCTGGGCAGGTCAGACATCAAATGCCTTGATGCTGCCCAATGCCACTCTGGAGCTAGCAGGGCCCAAGGTCACGGTCCCGAAGCCCCTGACTGGCCCAGGCCTGTCCAGGTTCCGCCGGAAGCGTCACCTCTCCGCCCAGGACATGAAAGCTCTGCTGGATTATCACAACTTCATCCGGTCCAGCGTGTATCCACCTGCCGCCAACATGGAGTATATGGTGAGTCCCCCTGCTGGCCCCTCCCCAGCAAATAGCCACCGACTCAACTTGGTTGTGAACAATAGCCTGGCCCCACTGGGTCCCAGGACCTAAGGAACAGGGTTGGGGTGAGGCTGCCTGTTTAACAGCTACAGAAGCTAAGATTACATAGATCCTCCATTGAGTTGTGGGCAATTATGGAGCACCTGGAGCTCTGGTGGGAAGGAATTTCACTGGCAACCCAAAGGCACAGGTTCAAATCAGCCAGCTGCTCCAGGGGAAAGAGATGGACAGTCCACTCTTGTGCAATTTACTGCTTCTGAAACCTGCTGGAGGGTCAGCTTGGAGTCGGTCCCAACTCAAGCGTACACAACAAGTGTGTACTCAGGAGCCCTGGTGGATTAGTGCATAACATGTTGGGCTGCTTATTAAAAGGTCAGTGGTTCTGATCCACCAGTTGCTCCTGAGGAGAAAGATGGGCAGTCTCCTCCCTTAAAGATTGACAGCCTCAAAAACCTGAGGGGAAATGAAACAACAACCCCCAAATCCTGATGGAGTGTTGCCAGGAGTCAGAACAAATTCAACTGCTGGGGCTTAGTCAGGTTTTTTGTTTTGAGTTTTTGGTTTATTGGGGTGGCATCACACTGTGTACCAGTCCCTGCTCTTTCATATCACACTGGGTGGTTTGAACCCCTGACTTTTAGGTTAGTAGTCAAATAAATACAAACCGCTTATCCCACCCAAGAATCTTTTAAGCCCAGCATTATTGTAATTATTATGTACCGTGGAGTTGGAACCATCACACAGCTGTCCCTTTAGTGAATTTTCAAAGGCAGTAAATCTCACGGGAGGAGATCATTCATCTTGCTCCCACGGGCAATCTCCTCCCGGGTGATTCACAGCCTCTGAAGACCCACTGGAGGGTCAGCTTCTGATTCTATGGTACACAGCAACTCCTTCTGGTGGGTTTGAACTGAGTGCCTTTGGGTCCACAGAGCAACCACTTGCCCTTAGGCCACCAGAGCTCCCTGTGGGCAGTACAAGACATATGTTATTTTGGATACTTCTCTTTCTTCAAGGTAGGCACTGTCCTCTTCATTTTCCAAAGAAACTGAGACTCAGAGAATTCATTTACCTCCAGTCACCCAACCTAGCTCCCAGCACAGGTCTGCCTGAATTTAAAGCTTGTGATCTTAGCGAACCCAATACCATGCATAAAAGTCTTGACTATGTCCACTGGGGGTCTGAGCGAAGGAGAGTGGCTGGAGCTGTTTAAGCTATTATCTCTTTGCCTCAGGCCTTTGTCTGACACACTCAGCGTCCCTCATCCATCGCAGCCTGTGAGAGGGGGCGTAAGGAGAGGTGTGGACTGGAAAACCGGCAGCTTGTCTTGAAGAGAGACTGGGATGCCCTCCCTCAAAGAGGTTAATCTAGAGGTTCTCACTTCAGCTCACCCAGAGATTTCTGTAGATAAAGATCTTGACCTTCACCCCTTCTAAGACAAATACCTGCTACTCAGACAGCCTAGGAATGCTAATACTGTCATAAAGTGTCCCTTCACTTGGGCATCCACACCTGCTCAGAGACTGGGCTAGAATGCTTTCAGGGTACCACCGAGTACAAGATGGCCAAGGTCCTTCCCTCATGAAGCTTAGAATCAGGATGGTCTCGCTCACTGCCGTCGAGTTGATGCTGACTCCCAGCGAGCCCACAGGACAGAACACAGCTGCTCCATCCGGTTTCCAAGGCTGGAAATCTTAACAAGAGCAGACTGTCTCATCTCTGGCCTGGGGAGTAGCTGGTGGGTTCAAACCACCAATCTTGTGGTTAGAATCCCAACAATTACTTTCCCATCAGGGATGATGCTATTGTTCTATTCCGTTGAGTTGCAACTGACTCATAGCTCACCCTTTGGCAGGTCTTTCGAGGCAGTAAATTGCGTGAGAGGAGACTGACCTTCCTTTTCCCATAGAGCAACTGGTAGACTTGAACCATTTGCCTTTGGGATTGCAGGGCAACTTCTTACCACTAGGTCACCAGAGCGCCCTTCAGGGAATGATAGAAAACAAATAGCATCCTCATAAACAGCAAAAACATAAATTTAATGTTGTCATGTGCTATCAAATTGGAACTGACTCATAGCTGACCCTCTCAAGCAGGTTTTCAGAGGCTGTAAATTATATAGGAGGAGATTATCCCTTTTTCTCCCACGGAGCAGCTAGTGGATCTCATCGGCCTGCCTTTGGGTTGGCGGCACAACTCTTTACCCACTAGGTCACCAGAACTCTGTTACATAAAAATAGAGACATCTAGGGCGCTCTGGTGGCCTAGTGGCAAGAAGCTGCACTGAAATCTCAGAGGTATGTGGTTTGAATCCACCAGATGCTCTGCTGGAGAAGGAGGGGCAATCGCCTCCTGTATTTGTCAGATCCAATTTGATGGCATACACACAAAAAATAATGATAAAAATAAATAAAGAGACATCTAGTCTGTTAGGAAACAATAAGGGAGGAAAGAGATTCCCACACCCCACACTATAGAGTTGATGCTGATTCATAATGAGACACCCCACAGCCTAGAAAGCAGATCTGCATTGCAGCATTCCCTACACCTTTTACAGGAGCAGTTTGCCAGGCTTCTTCTCCAGCAGAACTGCTGGTGGGTTTAAAATGCTGATTTTTCAGTTAGTAGGCAGTTGGGTAACCACTGTACTACCCAGGATACCTGGTACAGGGATAGGAGTAGGAAGTTCATGGTTTGGGAAGTGGGTAAGCCTTGCCTAAGGTTGATGTTTGAATCCTCCAGAGGGGCCTCAAAAGACAAGCCCAAAGATTTGCTTCTGAAGGGTGGCCTAGTGACAAAAAGTTGCACTGCAATCCCGGAGGTACGTGGTTCGGATTCATCAGATGCTCTGTTGGAGAAGGAGGGGCAATCTCCTTCTGTACCAGTCAGTCCAATTTGATGGTACACACCCGAAAAAATTAATAATATAAAAAATATTTGCTTCTAGGGGAGCTCTGGTGGCCTAGTGGCAAGGAACTGCAAATACAATCCCAGAGGCACACGGTTCGAATCCACCAGATGCTCTGCCAGGGAAGGAAGGACAATCTCCTCCTGTACCAGTCAGATCTGATTTGACGGTACACTCACACAAAAATAATAATAATTAAAAAAAATATTTGCTTCTGAAAGATTGCAGCCTTGAAAACCCATCTGCACACACAGAGTTACAATGAATTGGAATTTAACTGATGAGGTGTAAAGTGAATTGCATTGGGAAAATCTGCTGTCAGGGCCCTCTCCAGAGTACTGAAGAGCAAAGATGTCATCAGTCTGGAGACTAAGGTGTGCCTGATCCAAGTTGTGGTCTTCACAATTATTTGCTAAGCATCAGAGATCTGGACAATGACTAAAGATGTTAGAAGAAGAATCAAAACCTCTCTGAGCTGTGATGTTGGAGACGAGTAATAAACAGACTGTGAACCACCAAGAGAACAAATGGGTCTGTCCTGGAGAGGCTAAAACCATGTTACCTCTTGGAGGCAAGGATTTTGAAGCTCTGTCTCACATACTGTGTGCACGTTGCCAGGAGGGACCGGTCCTTGGAGAAGGACATCATGCTTGGAAGGGTCGAAGGACAGTGCAGAAGAGGAAGACTCTAGATGAGATGAACTGACTTAATGACTGGGGTAATGAGGGTGGATGTGCAGAGATGATAAGCCTGGCTCAGGGCAGGGCAGGGTTCAGAGCTGCTGTACGTAAGGTCGATGGAGGCGACTCAATGGCACATAACAACAATGCAAAAGCGGGCTAGGAGGCACGGTGGCAGACAGAAGTGGGGAAACACCAGTTACCATCGAGTCAGGACCAGCTCATGGCAACCCCGAGTGCATCAGAGCAGAACTGTGCTCCTTGCAATTGTCAGTGGCGGCTTCTTCTTCTTCTTTTTTTTTTCTTCTTCTCAGAAGTAGCCCTTTCTAGATGAACTTGAATGGATGGGAAGGATTAACTCATTCATTCATGAACTCTTTCATGTATTAACATAGCAGTTGGCACAGAAAAGCCCTTCTATGTTTTGAGCAAATGTCACAACTATCAGTTGCGTGTAAGTGGCACTCATACAGCAGGTGCTTAATTAATGCATGTGCTGGGTACAAGTACTCATGTGTGGTTTTAATGTGTAACTTACCCTTTCTCTCAGTTTACCCATCAGTAGCACAAGAGAAAACTTCCTCTGCTTCCCCTTATGAAGCATGAGCCAGGTGACCCTGGGGGGTTGTAAGCACCTCTGGTATTGTTAGGTGCTGTTGAAACCACTGTGGTCCATAGTGACCCTGTGGACAAGGGATCTGAACTTTGCCCTGTTCTGTGCCATCCTCATCACATCTCATAACCTTGAACCCATTGAGTCACTGTGTTAAAAAAATTTTCTTTTTATTTCATTCACATTGTGTTTCCTATGATTATTCCGATACTTTATGTCTTACAAAATCAGTCTTCACTGATCTGTGCCCACTATGTCAACCCACCGTGTTGAGGGTCTTCCTCTTTTATGCTGACCCTCCACCTTTCCCATCATAATGTCCTTCTCCAACGACTAGCCCCTCCAGATAACATGCCCCAGGTAGGTGAGACCAAGTTTTACCATCCTTGCCTCCAACAAGCCTGGTTACACTTTCTCCAAAACAGCCTTGTTTGACCTTGTGGCAGCCCAAGGGCTATTCACTGCTCTTCTCCAACAGCACAGCTCAAAGTCATGGAAATATTTGGAAATTATGGGTCAGACAACCCTGGGGAGCTGTCTGGACCTCTCATGGGCACCATATTTTGTCTCCCAGGAGTCTGATTAAACAGTCTTTGATTGTGAAGCCGGGAAGGTTGGGACCCCTTTCCCACATTCTCTCACTGCGCTTTGCTCTTCCCTGCAACACCAGTTCGCACTAGGATGATGAATCACCTCCTTCACATCTCGTTTCCTTGTTAGACTGTGAATGGAGGACTGACTCTAAGTATTGCTCACTATTTACCAATGATAACTCTGAGCACATTCCAGAAGGGACCAATGCCTGGAGAAAGACACACCACGTTCAGTAGAAGATCAGCCAAAAAAAAAAATAAAGAAAGAAAAGAAAGGACCCTCAAGGAGAAGGATCCACACAGTGACTGCAACAACGGACTTAAGCATGACAGTCAGGTTGGCTCAGGACAGGATAGTGTTTTGACTTCACTATTTGCTGTACAGAGGTAACTCATGGTTGCTGTGATGTTAAACACTGTGACACTGATGTGTCAAATGATTACTCATGGTGGACAGTGTTTGGTGGAGCTCCCCGATTAAAACAAGCTTGGAAGCAGGAGTGGCTTCTACTTCTGAAATAGCTTGCCTCCGGAAACTCTATGAACTTGGAGAAACAATGAAAGTTATACAAGTGTTCAGGTCTTTCGTTCATAGGGTCACTATGAGTCATCTATGATTCGACGGCACTTAACAACAACAACATATGGGGTGTTGTTGTTTTTTTTTTTCATTTTAATTTTATTATTTTTGTGTGAGTGTACCGTCAAATCAGATCTGACTGGTACAGGAGGAGATTGTCCCACCTCCCCGGCAGAGCATCTGGTGGATTCGAACCGTGCGCCTCTGGGATTGTAGTTGCAACTCCTTACCACTAGGCCACCAGAGCTCCCCAAATATATGGTTTAATGGTAAGAGGTTGCACTGCCAACCCAGAGGAACGCGGTTTGAATCCACCAGCAGCTCCATAGAAGGATGGACAGTCTCCTCTTGTGCAATTAACTGTTTCTGAAAACCCACTGGAGGGTCAGCTATGGGTCAGTTCTGACTCGACAGTACATAAATATGTGTTGGATCTAGATGACACTTAATAACACTTAATAAATAAGTAAGTGGTATTAGCAAATAATATTTCAAAGGATCCCAGAAGTCAGAGCTGGAAAGGGAAACTTGTTTCATTTGGTTTTTTAAGCAACACTTTTTTCAAATTTTTTTTTTAAATTTTTGTGTGTGTGTGTACCGTCAAATCAGATCTGACTGGTACAGAAGGAGATTGTCCCTCCTTCCCCGGCAGAGCATCTGGTGGATGCGAACCGCGCACCTCTGGGATTGCAGTGCAGCTTCTTGCCACTAGGCCACCAGTGCTCCCTTAGCAACATTTTTTAAGGTTAGAAAACTTGGGGCCTCCATATACCTGGAAAATTATGTAGTCATTAGGAAGATTGAGAAACATGTTCTTCAGGTAGAATAATCACCAAGAAAAAATATTTAATTAAGTAAAAAAAGCAAAGTGTAAACTAGAATGTCTGGCACAGTGTCATTTGTAAACTTATATCTATTTGCTTGTCTGAGTAGTGGATGTTTCTGAAAAGAAGACCTGCAGTGTGGTTGTCTGTGATGGGAACAAGGTACCTGTGGGAGACAGAGGTGGGAGAGAGACAGAAGAAGACGGACGTTTCCTCCTTTGGACAATTTACATTTTAAGTTTTTACCATTTTTTTTAAAAAGTATTTTTAAATTTAAGAATTAATATTGAGATAAACACACTTTAAAAATAGAATAAATAGGGAGCTCTGGTGGCCTAGTGGCAAGACACTGCACTGCAATCTCAGAGGTGTGCGGTTCAAAGGCACCAGTTGTTCCTCTGGAGAAGGAGGGGCAATCTCCTCCTGTACCAGCTGGATCTAATTTGATGGTACATACACAAAAAATAAAAAGAAAAATTTTTTAATTACATTTTATTAATTTTAATAAACATTTACAGAGATTTTGGATTTCCATTCATTCATTGTTGCACTTAAAGAAAATTTTTTAAAAATAAAATAAATAAAGCTTAAAATCCATTATCTTCACATCTCCCTTGACTCAGTCATTTCTAGAGACTTACAAGCCCCAGGCTTGAAGCTGGTGAGGGGGCACTGTGGTAGGAGCCAGAGACTTGGATGTGGATCTTGGCTCAGGTGTGGACTTGCTTGAAGCCCTGAGTCTCCTCTGAGTTGCAGTTTCTTCATCTGTCTTATGGATTTGTTGTCCAACGAGGCAGAGGAACGTGTGTCTCCAGTGCAGATAAGAAGAGACAGAGGATGATGATGATGATGATGATGAGACTCTGCCTTCCTTTCCCCAGGTCTGGGATGAGCAGCTGGCCAGGTCGGCCGCGGCCTGGGCCTCCCAGTGCATCTGGGCCCACGGGCCCTCGCAGCTGATGAGATACGTGGGTCAGAACCTCTCCGTCTTCTCTGGCCGGTGAGTGACGCACTGCTCCTTCCCGGGCTGAGCCGTTCAACAAACACGCATTTAGCATTTAACGTGGAGCCAGGCACTGAGCTTAGCAGTGGATTCAGTGAAGACCAGGACAGAGACCACTGCCCACTCAGAGCTTACACCGTGTTAGGAAAATTGGTGTCAAGTCAGTTCCTCCTCACACCGACCTCGTGAACAGCAAGGCAAAGGGCTGCCCGATTCTGCACCTTCTTTGTCAATTCTTTTATGTCTGTGCTATTGTGCTGTGTCTTCTTCCCACCTAGACGGTTCATCCCGCAGCACTGCACCAGACAGTCCTGTTATGATCTACTGTACGTTGCCAGGCCTTTCTTCCTAATCTCATTCTGAAAGCTCCACTGAAATCTGTCCACTAGGGGTGACCTTGTTGGGATTTGAAATATTAGTGATTCCAACCTCACAATGACAGTTATGACCAAACTGACAGGTGGTGACTGGTTAGGGGCACTAGATCGTTTCAGAAAAGGAGTGATCCGAAAGCACAGACAGAGTCAGGGCAAGGAAAATCATGAGCAGAACTTGGGTGAGGTGTTGTTAGGTGGTTGTAAAGCCCGCTCTTCTGACCTGACCTTCTCTTTAACACTGTGGAGCTCTGGTGGAGTCTGTAGGGAGTTACGCTGCTGACCCAAAGGTGGCAGTTCTAATCCAACAGCAGCTCCATGGGAGAAAGATGTGCAACCTCCTCCTGTGTGATTTACAGCCTCAGAAACCCTCCCCTGGAAGGTCAGCTGTGAGTCAGTTTTAACTTGAAGGCAATGAATACTATGTTCTCATTAGAACTTTTTGAAAAACTTTATTGTGATTTAAGTTTAGGGAACACATTGGGTTTCCATTCAACACCTCAATCATCTTCTTTTGTGTGACATTCATTATGATTCCCACATGTAACAGCACTCTTCCTGCTTCCTCCCTGGGTTTCCAATTTCCATTCATCCATTTCCCCTCCTGAGATTTATTCCTGAGCAGTTGCTGTCCTTTTGATCTTGGATGGTTGTCTGTTCCAAAGAGTGTGGTCCTCACTAGACTTACTGCTTACCGGGGAGACCTATTGTTCAGTTGAAAGTTGAGTCATGGGGGTTATTTCAATTTGAAGCTTGAAATATGGTTCAGGGCTGTAGCTTCAGAGTCCAACAAGATGGATCGGCACAGTGACTGAACCAATGGGCTTGAGCATGTTGGTGATGATAAGAAGCCTCACAACAGGGCAAGATTCAGATCCATTGTTCATGGGAACTCTGGTGGCCTAGTGGCAAGAAGCTGCGCTGCAATCCCAAAGGTACGTGGTTTGAATCCACCAGATGCTTCGCTGGAGAAGGAGGGGCAATCTCCTCCTGCCTCAGATTTGATTTGATGGAATCAAACAACAAGGAAAAACCAGAACAAAACAGATCCTTTGTTTATGGGGTTGCAATGGGACATAATCCACTCAGGGTTTCATAGCAACAGCCACCAGTCTCTATCAGACTGGTAAGTCTAGTACATTTTAAAAAAATTATTTGGATTTTTTTCCCCTCCACATTTCCCCCCTTTTTACTATGACTCCTTTTAAAGAGAATAGCAGAGGCAGCTGGGCACCATCTGGTCTCAGTGTCATAGAGACTGAAGTCCACCTGTGGTCCATAACTTCTCTGAACTAATATAGTCTTTGATTTTCTTCACTTTGCTATGGTCAGGGAGAGACCCTATTCTGTACAGACATGACCCCCTTCCTGCATTTGGACTCTTCAGGTGGCCTCTGGGGACCTGAGTTCTGACCTGTGAGGCTGTAGAAAGTCATTTCCACTCTCTGAACCTCTGTGTCCCCCTCTGCAAAATGAAGGTGTGGGCCCAGCTCAGTTCTTTCCAGACTTGCGGACTTCGTAGGCCTATAAAATTTCAAAAGGACATTTATGGGATGGCTACAAGATGGTCATGTTTTTCTTTCCCCAAATAAGGGCAGAAGAAAAGCCACAACTTTCTCCCCTCCACCATCTCTGCTGAACCCCACAAAAGCTAAAGGACAGGGCTCCTTACTTAATGCCAGCCCTTTACATTGAGCTCAACAGAAACGCTGTGTTCTGTCTGCATTTCCTTACGTCAGCACCTGGTTGGGTCCAGTGCCAGCTTCTGGGAGCCATGAATGGTCCCTAAGTGCCCTCCAGGGTGATTCAGACCATCCCTTCCCCTCACCCTTGCCATAAGATCTTCCCCACAGACTCCACCCCATCCCACCAAGCCCCACATGACCCGTGACCATCACAGAGAGTAAAAAGAAAATGGTGAAGAAATGGCACGGTGAAGATGTGCTGTGATAAATTACAAGTATGAATACACACGGCTATTTTTCCCTTCTCATACTGTTCATATGATCTATACCTCTGGTTTGGTGTCTGATTACCATATTCACAGGCTTCCTTGTGCTTCCTTATTGATCTCAAATGAAAAAGTTCGCTTTTTATTTTATCACATCAAAATTCTGCTTCTACAGGGGAGCTCTGGTGGCCTAGTGGCAAGGAGCTGCAACTACAATCCCAGAGGCACACGGTTCGAATCCACCAGATGCTCTGCCGGGAAAAGGAGGGACAATCTCCTCCTGTACCAATCAGATCTGATTTGACGGTACACTCACACACACACACACACACACACACACACACACACACACACACACACACACACAAAATTCTGCTTCTATGTGTGGCCAGCGCCTGTCTCTCTCCCAGCCCCACAGCACCTTCCTGCAGAATCCAAGCCTCTCATCAACTTACGATTCTTGATGGGGAAGGCATACCCCGTAAGTGACTGCTCACTGTTTTGGGGTTTTGTTTCACATTCTTTCCCCCGACTCCACTGGCTCAGTAAGCAAGCGAGACTGCGTCCCAGGCTGCAGTGAACAATTTCATACGCGGTTCGCCACGCCTTCAATTAGCACGCATGTGTTTATCGGGCTGACTGGGTGCTCCTTCCCTGTACCCGCCTGTCACGTGTTATGTGAGTTGTTGCTGTTTGTGTACTGTTGTATTGCAACTGACTCACAGCTGACCCTCCAGTAGGTGTGCAGACACCTGGAAAGAGATTGACCATCTTCTTCCCATGGAGTAGCTGGTGGATTCGAACCACACACCTTTGGGTTGGCAGTATGATTTCTTAGCACTAAGCCACCAGAGCTCCCTTGTTATGTGAGAGTCACAGAAAACAGTGCTCAGGTCCGCACAAGCATTTGGATGACAGGACACTTGAAGGCCTGCCTTCTCCTCATCTCATGCCTCAGTCTAGGAGAGAAGTTATTGATCCTTTCTTCCCTAAAAGCACAGGCTGTGCTGTCTGAAGGGCTGACCTCCTGCCTGGCCCTTTCTAGGACACTAACAACTGCAGTTTACTGAACAGTCACCAAGTCTCAGGCACAGGTAAGCACTTCTTACGTAAGCACTTCTCCAGCCATCTTCAGAACATTCTAGAAGGAAGGTGCCACCATCTTATTTCCGTTTTATAGATGGGAGGACAGTTGACTCAAGCAAGGACACCAAGCGAGTTGTTGTTGTTATGTGTCACTGAGTCGCTTGAGACTCATAACGACCCTTTGTACAACAGCTCTAAACTCTGCTCTATCCTGTGCCAACCTCACCATCTCCAACACACTCATTACCACCACCCCAATCACAGAATCGATCCATCTCATCGAGGGTCTTCCTCTCCTGTGCCATCCCTCTACTCTCCCAAACATGATGTCCCTCTCCAAGGACCAGTCCCTCCTTGCAACATGCCCAAAGTATGTCCTACATTCATGCTTCTCACATTCCACATTCCAATCACTAGTGTCTGCTTACAACTGTTCCTTCTTCTTTGTGTTTCCATGTCTAAGATCTCAGTCTCAATTGCCATGTCTGCTAGTCTAAGTGCTAGTCTAAATGTGCTCTATTGTGCGTAGGGTTTTTGAAGGCCTGTCATTTCGGAAGTGGATGGCCAATCCTTCTTCCTAGTCTGTCTCAATTTGTGTGTGTGTGTGATATAATATTTGACAGACAAGTATTAGCTGAACGATTTTCCTCTTCCCCCACCTCGTTCTCCCCTCTCCCCTGTTTTCCCAGGTACAACTCGGTGACAGATCTGGCGAAGCTTTGGTCTGATGAGAAGCAGTATTACCTGTATCCCTCCCCGCGGGAATGTAACCCGCACTGCCCGTGGCACTGCAATGGGCCCCTGTGCACCCACTATACCCAGGTAATCCTTCGCCAGGACTGAGGGGTGAGTGGGAGGACAAATCCTGATACCTTAGGCAAAAAGGAAGTGGTGCAACCAAAATGGGACTTAAAGCAGAGGCCCTGGGGGGCTTCCTTAATCATGATCACACACTGGGAGGCTGTATCTTGATTTAAGAACTGGGGCCTGTTCAGGGAGCCCTGGTGGCACCACATTTAAAGCATTCAGCTGCTACAGTAAAGTCAGCCCCTGGGACCCACCCACCAGCTGTTCCGTGGAAGACAAATGTGGCTGTTTACTTCCATAAACATCTACTGCTTTGGAAATCCTACGGGGCATTTCTACTTTGCTGCCTTGTAGGGACATGGTTGGATGAACTGAGTTGATGGTAGTGGGTGTTTTTTTGTGTGGGTGCTGTTCTGAACGTCTTGGGTGGGCTGACCATATTCTCCAGTCCCTAGATGGAGACGTGTGGTACAGAACACTCTAGAATCTAATCAGTCAGATGACATTTTCAAAGGCTCCTGCTCTCTTCAAAACCCACTGCCACAATCCCAGAGGAACACGGTTCGAATCCACCAGACGCTCTGCCGGAGAAGGAGGCGCAATATCCTCCTGTACCAGTCAGATCTGATTTGACGGTACACGCACACAAAATTTAAAAAAAAAAAAAACAAACCCACTGCCATCAATTCAGTTCCAACTTACAGCGACACTTCATCTGGTTTCTGACACGGCACGTTTTACAGGAAGAGATCGCCCCCCTTCCTGCTGTGGCTGGTGGTTTCAAACAGCTGACTTTTCACTTAGAAATCCAATACATTACACACTGTGCCACTGGGCTCCTTCATCGAGGAGAAGTGTCAAAACCACACATATTAGAACATACTTTGAGTGCCAGTGTTTGAATGCATTAACATTTGTTACATTAGAAGTGTAATGCGATATAGTATTCTAATAGGGTGGGAACTTAAGTTGTATACAAGTTTTCCTTGAGTGTCTCTGCAACTCTTTCAGAAAAAACGTCACAGGGCTAAAGTTGAAGCCCTCGAGGAAATGTGAAGGGAGCTCTGGTAGAGACACAGTGAAGCATTCAGCAGCTTGAATCCTTGGCAAGTCAACTCCCCTCAACAACTCCACAGGAGAAAGACTTGCACCTGGAAGATTGTCTCGCATTGTTGTCTAATCAGAACCGACTCAGCTGACTGCCCAGTGGGTTTTCAGAGGCTGTAAATCCCACAGGCAGAGACTGTCCCTCTTTCTCCTGTGGAGTCACTGGTGGATTTGAACTGCAAGAGAGATGCCACCTTTGGGTTACCAGCACAGCACCCTAGAGACTAGGTCACCAGAATCTAGAACATTCTATGTGGTTGTTCTACTCTGTCACAGGTGATCACAGTGAGTCAAAATCCACTCAGCAAGAACAGAACATGTGAGGCCACTCTTTCCCAACCTACCATGAGATATTAACTCCTTTCTAAGTGGGGCACAAATAAAAAGCCTGGGAGGTCAAGAGGTGAGAAGCTGCGCTGCAATCCGAAGGCACGAGGTTCAAATCCACAAGCTGCTCTGTGGGAGAAAAAATGGGCAATCTCTCCTTGTTCACTTAACTGATTCTGAAAACCTGCTGGAGGGTCAGCTATGGGTCAGTTCCGACTCGATGGTAAACAACAACACAACAGCTGAGGCGCAGAGAGGTTAAATCACTGCGTCAGGGTCACAGAACTACCAATTTTGATCTGATTCTGTTTGACTTCAACTCAATAGTGACCTTTAGATTGTAGGTTGAGACTCAGTAATTATGAACCTAATCTTTTGGCTAGTTATGAAGACATAAAAAGAAAGGAGGAAAAAAATTTAAAAAAGGAAAGGAGGGGGAAACCCCCACCCAAACAGAATAGGAAAGAGATAGAGTATATTTGATAATATGTGATAAGATTAAATATTGCTTCATAAAATGTTTGTTCCAATTGTGTACATTTATATACTGGTAACAATTTAACGTGTGTCCCTTTTTTTTAAAAATTTTTATTTTATTTTATTTTATTATTTTTGTG